ATAATTCCGCATTAGACGACTTCCTAAATTGACAACAATAGTATACCGATATGTAAAACATTTGATTGCCGAAAATATTTAATGTTAAAGTTAAGCTCAAAAATTTAGTTCATTAAAGCTAGTTTAGGAAATATTTGTGCGTATTCGCTTTATTTACCTGTGGCTAACCCGAAAACTGCACAAAAAAAGAAAAAAAAACCAAAATCTTGAAACTAATTAGATTACGTACAAGTTTGAAAGTATCGGCTTTAGTACAAAAATTTGTTTTTGTAGTACATAGTTATTTATTATATAGCTTACATAAAGCACGACGTACTGTACGTACATACGATATAGAAAATCTAAGAATCACACAATTTCTTTAATCAGGTAGTACAATTTTTATCCTAAATAATGATTAAGAAAATTTAATACGTATAAAAGAAAACAATTTTTAACATTGAGGGAAAAACAAAAAAACAAAGATTTTTTGAATTTAAAACAAACAAATTTGTTTACATTGTCATTGTAAAACCAAAAAAACGGTTATAATATGAACACGTATTTCGAACAAAATTTAGATTCAGAATCAATGGACTTTACTGAAGGATCGGGACCAGAAACAGAACCAGAATCATCAGGATCAGAATCAGAATCAAAAAGATCAAAAAGTTATAAGGAGGGAAAGGATTTTGAACTTTACATTGAAAAAATATTAGACAAAAATGGAATACAGGTTGATGGTATTAAATTGCGACCAGGAGATAATGGAATTGATTTTATGGCTACATTTAATAAACAAATAGTTATTATTCAATGTAAGAATGTTCGCAAACCTATGGGCATAAACATTATAAAAAATTTTCAAGCTTCGGTTTCTCGGTTTGCGGAAGAAACATTATGTGTTATTGTTTATAATAGTAAGAAACTAAGTAATAATAGTAAGAAACGAAGTAACCACCATTATTTAACTAAAAATGCAAAAAGTTGGTGGGAAAAACAATGTCCTAAAATTAAGATTGTTAATGAGGAAACGATTGTAAATTGTATTAAGGAGCAAGGAAGGATGCCGCATGATGAATTATATGGGGATCATCAAGGTGTGTCATATAATGACATGTCAAACGTGATAAGACAAAAAGCAGAATCGATTGTAACAAATGATGATATGGAAATAGATGTTATTGTAGGTAGTGAACAAAGTGGTGACAATTATGAAAGTAATAACAGTAAATCTTTATCAACCATCTCTAGAGCATCATATGAAATTTCCGGAAACAATTATGAATATTTACCTACAGAAGAAGATGCATTTCGGCAAGCGTTGACTTCTCAAGCTATTAATAGTGAACAAGTTTATGATGTTCAAACTATCGAGTCATGGAGTTGTCCAAAATGTACATATAAAAATAACCTATTATCATTGCAATGTGAGATTTGTTTGAATGTACGGCCGGATGCAAATCAGTCTCAAAGGTTCCTACCTATTGATTCTTCAAGTCCACCGTGGGATTGTCCTGTTTGTTCATTTAGAAACGAAAGCGACATAGTTATGTGTATAGGATGTGAATACTTAAAATATTAATGATACAGTTATTACGGCATAGATAATGAATTTTTTTTTTATTTAATCTTAGAATGCAAACATCATTTTTGACCACTTGACCTATTTTATAGACCTACTTTTGTGAACCTAGACATTTCTGACCCCTTTTTTTCAAATGAAATTTTATTCAAAGTCGCAGATATTAGAATATCAAATAATATATGGCATGACGTTTGACGTGACGTATTGATGTTATGTCTAAATTTTATATGACGCGAAGGTGACCTTCCAAATGCCTGCAACTCTAACCTCTTTTAGATATTATCAAATTATCCGGTTGTCCAGGTAATTTATTGTCATAATAATTTATACCCTCTGTATTAATTAAACTATTATAAAGAATCTATTATAAAGAATTATAGCATACATTTTATAAAAATATTGCACGAGATTATTTTTCCTTATAATACTATATATTATAGTTTGTTATTCTTGATACTATATATATAAGCCACGCATACATATATATTTCAATAGATTTTGATTAATTATTTCTTTAAATAAATAAGCATAATATTGTTTTATTGTTTTCCGAAAATCTCAAAGAATAAAATAGTGTTTGTGTCGTGCTTGAAGTGGCATTTGCTTGTGACTAAAATTAGTCCCTGAAACTAGATTGTCTTGCATGCATAGTTAGTAGTTTTAACCTCAGACGCTTGAAGTTACAACTTCAAGCAGATGCCACCTTCAAGCATGATATTTATACGTACGTACGTACGTATATAGAATTAATAACTGCAGCTACGTATAATTATGTTTTTAACTTATCAAGGTTACAATATTCAGTATGTAATAATAATAATAATAATACATATTAATAAAAAATTTCTTTAACAATACTTAGATCAATTTCTCCTTTTTAAATATATACATTATTTCAAATTCTTCTGAAAAATATTTGTTTTAAAAAATTTGTATTATAACAATCATTACTATATAATAACTAATAATTAAAAATTAACTATCCAATATATATAGTATAAAAATAAATATATAAAAAATTAACATAACAATATTAATTACGTACCAAAATAGATATAGCATAAATTTGGTAATTATATGTTTTAAAGATTTAACAAGTTATAAGACTTTTAACTATATAAAAAACAAATTATATACAGTGTATGTGTGAATAACTATATAATTTACGTATTAAAATTAGTTAAATATGTTTGTCACTATATAGTATATAAAGCACAGGTATATACGCATAATAATTCTGAGGGACCAACGTGAAAATTTTACTTATCCCTTACATAGTCTTATAAGCAAATTTGCCTGCTAATTTTTAACAAACGCACTTTTTTGAACCGATCATATGTAAATTATAATTTAAAGTATACATTGTCATAAGCTAAATTATCTATCCGAGAGCTTTCTGCTAATATCATTTTTGGCAGTGCATATGTTGCAAGTGGAAACGGGATTTCCATTACCACTTACAACACATAGACCTCATCTTCTTTGAATTCTTCATTACTTTCAGTATTATCTACACAACTCCGCTAAGCAAGTCATGTGACTTTGGTCAAAAACGTGATATTTGACCAGATGATTGGTATCTGCGTGTAGGTAAATTTGCCTCTTTGATCAAAAACGTGATATTTGACCAGATGATTGGTATCTGCGTGTAAGTACATTTGCCTGCAATTGCTAGATGGCGTAAAGGATAAAATTATTTTAAAAAAAATTGCATAAATTTTAATACGTATAAACTATGTCATAACCCAAACTTTGATCAAATTAATTTTTATTTTTTTTAGTTTTGTTATACGTACCAATTTACAAATTATACTAGTATTTACATATGCTAGTGTATATTATGTATATATGCTAGTGTATATTATGTATATATGCTATTGTATATTATGTATATATGCTATTGTATATTATGTATATATGCTAGTGTATATTATGTATATATGCTAGTGTATATTATGTATATATGCTAGTGTATATTATGTATATATGCTAGTGCAGTGATGGCTTTTGGACAATTTTTAGCAGTTTGAACAGTTTGGAACAGG